ATCGGACTCATAATGATCCACCTGTCTACAGCCTCCCAAGAGCTGGGATTACGGGCGTGCACCACCATGCCCATCTCAGCAGGCCTAGGGGCAGGGCTGGCACAGCAGGCCAGAGGATTGAACTCCTGACCTCTGTGTCTGCTTGCAGGTGCTTTAATCTGCTGAGCTGTTTGGCCAGCCCTGTGTTGTATATTTTAGATCTTCTGTTTCTCTATATAAACTTTTAAGTATTTGTTCATATGCTTAAAATAAATTCCTGAATTTTTTTTTTTTTTAAACATTTATTTATTTAGTGGGGTGGGGGTGGACAGCTCAGCCCACCAGGGGGCGCAGCTGGCTGGCATGTGGTGCTGGGGGATCGAACCGTGGTCCCTGTGCTTTGCCAAGCTTGTTCCAAGTAGGTGCTTTAGACCACTGAGCCATCTCTCCAGCCCAAATTCCTGAATTTTGATTGGGAAAAATAATTCCTCTAAGTCAGTTACTGTAGTGGTGTGGTGTATATGTGATATAATACCATAGATAGAAACTGGGCCATTGCAAATTCAGATGAACCCTCCTTAGCTTGATCTGGAGCTTAGACTACTTTATTTTTTCTTGTAGAATACTTGAAAAATAATTAACTCTTTAATTGAGCTTAAAGTCCAATAATAAAATATTCTGCTTTTGAAATAGTAAAAATTGGGGGCCGGGGAGATGGTTCAGTGGAATAAACGCTTCCCTGGCAAGCACAAGGGCCTGAGTTCAATCCCTGGCTCTGCCAAAAAAAAAAAAAAAAAAAGTAAAAATAAAAATTTATGTTTCTTTTATTAGCTTAGCATTAAATTATTTAACTTAGTGGTCATTAATCTCTGTTTTGAAAACTGTGCCTTAGAAATTAAATATTTACACTTAAATCAGAATGTAAAATCAGTGCCACAGGGGCTGGAGAGATGGCTCAGTGGTCTAAAGCACCTACTTGAAACAAGCTTGGCAAAGCATCAGGGACCACGGTTCAATCCTCCAGCACCACATGCCAGCCAGCCCCGCCCCCTGGTGAGCTGAGCTGGCCACACACACACACACACACACAATAAATAAATGTAATAAATAAACATAAATAAATATTAAAAAAAAATCAGTGCCACAAACCTCCTTTTAGAACATGTAAAACAGCATATCACACATTTTATTAGGATTCACTAGCTGGGCATGGTGGGACATACCTGTAATCCCAGCACTTGGGAGGCTGAGGCAGGAGGATCTCTGTGAGTTGGAGGCCAATCTATGCTACATAATGGGTTCAAGGCCAGCCTGAGCTACATAGTGAGACTGTCTCAAAAAGGATTAGCTAAGACTGCCTCATGTAGCACTGTGTAGGGACATAAATAATATTTAGCTACAGGTTAATAAATGTTTACCTTCCTGTATTCATATTGTAACTTTGTCCTCATATAAGTGCCTTTCCATTTCTCTGGTTTTAGGCTCTTATCATGAATGGAGCAGATCTGGCAACACAGGATCACCGTGGGTGCACCCCTCTACACCTTGCTGCGACTCACGGTCATTCTTTCACCTTGCAAGTCATGCTCCGGAGTGGTGTGGTGAGGGAAGCCTGCCAACTTATGCTCACATGTAACAAATAGATGCGGATGGGAGTAGCTAAGTGGTTGGCAGTCTGGTGATCTCTTCTTGACTCTTGAACGACTTTGGGAACACAGTTTAATTTTTCCTTTTAGCTTGTAACATGGGATGAATTATTCAGATAAATCTCACCCCCTAAGTGGCTTAGAAATATGAAGTATTTCAGGCTTTTATTTTGTGTATGTATACACATGAATGCATATCAGGTCATAGTTTAACTGGGAGGATTTCTAATCTTTTTAAAATTAGAACATTTTAACCAGGTCGTTGTAAATCCTTATAAAATTCTGCTTATGTGTTTCTTTTTTTTATTTTTTATTTTTTAATGTATTTGGTACAGGGTCTTACGATGTGGGCCGGTGTAGCGTGTGGTGCTGCGGATCTATCTGTAATCCCTGCGCTTTCCTAAGCAGGTGCTTAGTCGGCTGAGCTATCTCACAGGCCCAGGAAATTACTTTTGTAACAATAACTTGTAGAGAAATAAGCACATTATGATTAGAGTTGATGTTTCTACAGTTAGACAAAACTGAAAAGCATATTAAATATTTTGTCACTAAGTATTTTCTCAGTTGTATGATTTGATCATTTAATAAATCAGTCTTTGTCATTTTACTGGTCAGGATTTCTTTTAGAGATATGATCTTGCTATGTAGCTCAGTCTGGCCTTGACCTCGCAGCGATCCTCCTTCCTCAGCTTCTAGAGTGCTGGAATTGCAGGCATGTGCTACCACCGTATGCCCGTCAGGAAGTTGTGACTGGTAAATAACCAGTTTAAAATTTCTTTTTATTTTTTTAATCTTTAAAATTAAAACATTTTTTTGTGATACTGGGAATGAACTCAGGACCTTGTGCTTGCCAGGCAGATGCATAGGCCACTGAGCTATATCCCAGACCCCTAAATTTCTTTTTTTTTTTT